AAAAAAAAAATACAGTTCCAAAAATATTTCAAGAGTTAGTTTGTTTTTAATACGAATTGAATTATTTTTAAACCGAGTTTCAATAAACTTTACTTATAAATACTTAATCCGTAACTTAGAAAAAAATTCGTTATAATCTAAAATAATTTTCAAATTAAAACTTCGCAAACATTATAAAAAACTTTGCAAACATTGTTAATTATTGTAACCATAATCGTTTTCTTTTATCGTTATTTAAAAAAAATAATGAGATTTGAAAAATAATTCCAAAGCGTGTTTTATATAGTGGGGGTATTGATCGCCCAAAAAAAGTTAAAAATGAGCTTATTTTACTCCACTAGTCGTCGCTACATGTGAAACGTGCCTCTGAAATTGTATCAGTTGAAATCGAACAAAATAAAATATATTTCTCATCTCGCGGAACATTTCCCCCCGTTTTTCTCACGTGCAGATGTTTTTGAAATGTAGAACAAATAAATAAAAGTGTTTTTACACGTGACCGAACAAAATGAAGATAGTTCTTTTCCTTTATTTCAGGCAGCTCTAGAACGAGAGGATATTTTTTTTCCGAGTTTGGTACTCATTTTTAATCATAGTTTTATTATCGTTGAAAATAAAAGCTTATGAAGAATATATTCACTAACGCTGTAAAAAATTACACTATTTCAGTTACACGGTAAATAATTCCAGATCTAATGACTCTTTAAAGTCCCTGCCCTTTGGGTGCGTCATCCGTAAAATTTATTTTACCGTAAAATCAATTTTTATCGTAAAACAATAAACCGTAATATTTATTTAATTAGAGTGATTCAGTGATTTTACAGTAGCTATTACTGTAAAAACTACGGTATGACAGATTTTTCTTTTGTAACATGACCCGATAAAAAAAGGATTTTACGGTAAAAAGTACTGGTACTTTTTACCGTAATTTGATCAGGAAGTTATTACGTGTATATTTATAACAGTTTTTTAGGACTAATGGAGCAATTATAGTAACATTATTACAATTTCAGGATTTCATATTGGAGATTATTACAATTTCTTGAGTGCATATACTCAAAAACTCAACTTGGTAATAAGTGGGTAATAACTAGGGTAATAAGTGGAGCTAAAAGTAGTGCCTAGGTGCCTTTCACTCCTAAAAAAGTGTCACACAGGAAATAGAGTTGGAAAATCTTATTCATTAAATGTATAAATATGTATAGTAAAATATTTTTTCGTAGTCAAACAAATAGTTTAAAATAAATGTTAAAACCCATTTACTACCTAGTGTGACACATACGTTACGGAAATGTGGGAATTCTCCTGACTTCAAAAAGGACCGATTTCACATCAAACAAATGTTTTTAATTCAAATTAGAAAGCAAGCAGTAACAGAAAATATTTATTTAATTTTAAAAAAAATCTTTTTTTTGAATAGCTTTTTTGCGTCACGGCACGTAAAAAAATTCTGCCTTTAATGGGTTTTAAAAAAATTTATCATTTTTATAATAAATTTTTTTAAGAAGGTGTTTTGTTTTCTTTTTGTGCTCAAACAGTGGAGTAACCTAATTAGAGCTTAATAGCTTTGTTGCTTTATTAAAAATTTGAATTAATTTTTTAAAATTATATTGAATTTGATTTTTAAATAAAAATTGAATTAAACAATAATTGAAATTAAGTAACAGATCATAATTTATCTACTTCAATTTCAGCTAAAAAGATTTTTTTAATTTCTGAGCTAATATCTAGAATTTCTAATTTTACAAATACTTTGCACCATTGAAGCTTGTATATTAATTACTTTTGTTTATTAATATTATTATAAATAAACAGTTCACTAAAAAATATATTATAGATAAATGATTTCTGAAATTTATAGTTAGTTAATTAATAACAATTGTTTCATTTTTTTTATCAATTATTTAAGCCTTACTTATTCATTATTTATTTTTTATTTATTTATTTTACCTCTCAATGACAAGGCAGAGCATTTGCATATTACCTTTCTTATTCTTAAACTTTTTCAAAATAAAACATAATCCTATGTTATACTTTTAAAACATTATATATTAACGATGTTTATATTAAGGAATATTCTTACCACAAGGACAGGGCAAACAAATGATGCAACAAATTCATCTTCAAAATTAAAAAAAAATATTCAGAAAGATGAATAAATAATATCAACAGCCTTGTTTTGACATGCCGATGTTTATTTATTTTAGATATGATTTTTTTACCTTTCATTTATTTAACTTCTGATGTAAGAAGATCGTCGACCTTTCAAAATATTCAATATCTATGTTTAAATTTTGATTGATATCGTATTTCAGAATGATATCCTATTATTTATTTGACCAAAGAAATAATATGTGATTTATAAAAATATTATTCGCTCACTTCCATGTTAGTACTCATTGTGAAAGATAAAAATATTTATTCAAGACAGAATGTTAATAATTCTCAAACTATCATTCAACTTTTTTAAAACTACCTTAACCAGCACTATTTGCGAATTTAATTTTTTAAGCTACCTTATGTTTCAGCAGAATTACATAAACTACTTATTTTTTAAGAATTATTTCAATAGAATAATAAAGAAAAAATATACAAAGAAAACTTGCTATAAATAAATGTTGTTTAATGAAATGATAAAAAAAATAATAATAATAAACTTATGCATGTACTATGAAAGTATCTTTTAAAAAATAATAGAACCAAATATAATCCTTTAATTGAAACAAATACTTAAAATAACTCATTAATTCTACACTTTTAATTCATATAAGTTAATTCGTTATTCTTATAATAATCAAAAGAGTTGATAAATTAAATTGATACCAAAAAGGAGTGAAAAAGAATTATTTTTTTCTCAAAAAATTTTAAAACAAAAGATTTTAAATTTTCAGACATAAAATGATTTTTTTTTCAATGTTAAAATCATAATAGTGATTTAAATAATTGAATTCATTTTATTTAATTCATTAATCATATTAATTACAATAATAGTTGAATTCATACTAATGAATTCAACTTGTTTTTAAAAAATTGAATGTGATGCGATTTTTGTGCAATTCAGTTATAAATACTATAATCTATTAATATAAACTGACATCAACTGGGGATCGTCAGAAAAAAAATTAACATTAATTTTAAAAGAAATTAATTTAAGTTCTTTAAATAGAAATACATTGCAGATACATATTATCAAAACATCGTTCACAGAAACGAGTTATTTATTGTTTTATAGGATATTTTAGTATATATTTGTCTTAGCTATTTAAGCATATTAAAATTTAATTTAAAGTTTGTTAACTGTAAATCTACATCTCGATGAAAACAAGCTTTAAAGCTACGAAGTAAAATAAAAAGTAAAATTTTTAAACGCTTCGTTAACCCAAATCGCAACTTTTAATTTCCCCTAACAATTTCAAATAAAATTCATATCACTTTTATCTGAAAATTTTTACATAAAATATAAATAAATAAATAAAATACATGGTGTTATTTTAAATTTAAATAAGAGTTAAGATATTTTTTTATTTCTTAGTTATTTTCGTACAGATTCATAAGGAAAACAGCGACAATATCGAATGATTTTAACTGTAATGAATACCAAAATTAGTATAAAAAATGTCAACTTTTATGCATATTTATAACAAAATTATAGGTCTATTAGTCAATGCATCGTCTTAAAACTTATATTTTTTCAAATTACAACGAAAACATTTCTGAATATTGATTATTTAATACTCATAATTTTTACTTTAAAAACCTAATTTTATATATTTATGTAAATTTTATTTCACTTAATAAGAAAAACTGAAGCTTTGATTTCTCAGTACATATGGCTTTAAATATTTTGCTTATTTTTGGGCGTTAAATATATTACACTTTGCGTACGAAACCCAAAATGTAACTACTGGAAAAGTTTTAATAGTACTTATATCTTCTTAGAAATTTCGAATGTTTTTCTCTAAGTTTACACTGTAAAGGAGGGGGGGGGGACATTGAATTTTAATTTTTATAAAATAAAAGAAAATCGAAACTTTAAACAAATAAAATCGTTCAATTATTCTGTGCCAATTTATTAGAAAAAATTAAATGCTGCCAAGCATGATGAAGAAAACGATAGAACAGCTCAAAATAATGCTTTCCAGCATTAAAATTTGTAGTTTAATGAATAAATCAGCTCTTTAATTCTTATTGCAGAAATGAAATTTTAAAATTTACATTAATTTGATCATAATTTTCATATAATTCCTAGGAGGGTTGAATTTAAACATAGTTATTTTATTACACAGCTCAATGAAAAATTAACTTTAGTTTAGTTTCAAATTTATTTTTAGTTTCTATTAAATTACAAATTTTACTTGTTTGAAAAAAAAATATTTTTGTAAACATTTTAATTGTTTCACATAAGCGCTTATAATTCGTTTACTAAAGCATTATTTTTTTTTAAAAAGAAAAAATTCGACGATGAGGAAATTTTAATTTCATAATTTCTACCAGAGTAAAGCTTGAAAATAAAAGGAAATTTTTATTCAGTTTAAACTTTTTTGTTTAAAAATTTGTTAAAAATAAACCTTGTGCAATAGTAATTATTTCAAAACAATTCGAAATAATTACAATGAAATAACAAGGAAAGAGTGTAGAATGCCTCTAGAATTAAGCACTGAAAATTAAAATATTTTTCTGTGTATGAAATTTTCCATTTTTCTATTATTTTTATAGTGATTTCTTATTGAAAGCAAATCTCACTTTTAAGTCATTTTTCCTGCTATCTACGACAAAAAGAATTAATAAATAAAAATGCCAAAATAAAAGGGGCACTCTGTTGTAAACTTTTACTAATAGCAAATGAAGCAAACACATAAAATAAATAAAATAAACTTTAATGAAAAAAAGTAAATAAAACATATTAGTGAAACATTTTTAGATGTTATAATACTGATTCATTAGCTCATAAGATTAATTTAAATTGGACATTTTCTACACATAAAATTACATAAACTTACCGGATTGGAGTAGGGCTGAGCGCTCAATCGAATTCCATCTCGAATTAATTTTTCTTTGACCAAGTTCTTTAATTGCATCTTAGGGTAACGCCCCAGTTCAGCTTTGCCCTCCTCATACTCATCAATATACCTTCGACCACAGAGTACACGAGGGGGCGGGGGTACACTATCGTCTTCACTGTCGGTCAGTATCCTTCTAGATTTATCACTATCCATTGGATTGTTCCTCTTAGGCAATTTCGAACTATCTTTCTCTAATCTCCTAGGCAACGATGCTACTGACTTCTTAGGTTCACAATTATGAATAATTCTTTCATCTTCTCGAAGATATCTTAAAGTGCTTCTTTGGACAACAGGAGACCGTTGACCATTAGAGCCAGGTGTGTACGTCCACTGGTAAAGTCCATCACTACTGTTTGGATCAGACGATCCACAAATTCGTGGCATACAACCAGTTAAAGAATCCAAAGACGTAGTCTCCACAGTAATATGGTTAGAGTTATTATTCCTATGCCTATAATTAGGCTTGCTGTTAGTTCCACGGGCATTCGATGGAACAGATTGATGCCGGATAAAAGCTGGCCGTCGTTGAGAAGGTAATGGGGACGAAGAACATGAAGCCCCGGCTGCACCAAAATTAGTACAATTTTCGTAATCGTCAGAACTACTTTGGGTGTTTAGATAGAGTTGTTGTTCTTCGAGAGTAAAGTACACTGCTGTACCACCTTCTTGCACCAATCGTTTGACCGCACGACGGATTATTTCCCTATGGGCAGGATTGGTCACTCCAATAGCGTCCAAGTCCGGCTCACCTATTTGCTTACAAATTTCAAGATCATCGTATCCATTGTCAATAAAACTGTCCGAATATTGGGCCAGATGCATGGCTTTCAGCCATTCGTGCACGATGTTGGTTTCAGTCATATCCAAAACAGTTCTCCGCCAACCCTAAAGCACGCGTTTCATGGAACTTTCAGGTGGTTATTCGATCGAATGACCGCTCCGAGTCGGCTGCAGCCATCACCGCTGAAGAGATCTTTCCGACTGCCGAAGGTGATGCACCCCTTCACTCGGTTTATCTCTTCGTAGTGAGGTTACATCGAAAACCGGCTTTTCATTCTGCGCCGCCCCGGTCTGAAGAAGTGAGAAAGAGTGTCGCCAAATTTTAACGCCAATTTCTTTCATCGATGTGCGTTGCTTCTTTCTGAAAGTTTTCTTTCTTGGCGAGATCTCTCTCGTATGCATTCCTCATAAAAGTCAATTCATTTTTATTTCTGCTTTTCTATTTTAACTTAGGGTAATGTTGCAAATGTAATACTAGTTTCTTGAGAAAAATCGATATTGAATTATGGCTCTTGAAATTAATGCTGTCTTATTAGGATAGTGAATTTTTAAAAATAATTATTTATGTAGGAAAATTTAAATATTTTTAACGAGTTTCTCCCTGTAAACTGAATATTCTAGATCAGCGTCCAAATTTTTTTTTTTGGCTATGGAATCCCAAAAAATCACCTTTTCCTGAGGAACCCCGCAATTATAAATAATTGAGTATATAAAAACAATTATGAACATATTAACCCCTGGTATAAACCAATAAAGAACTATTTTAATTTCAAATTTTTTTCGTCGTTATTTATTTTTTTTCGTAATTAATCTTAAATTAAGTTTTATATCCGACAGTTAAATTCACAAATTCTAGAGTGATATCGAATTTAGTTTTAAATTGGTTTTTCAGGGAATATAGCAGCGAACGAAAGTCAAAAGAACTGTTATATAACTTAACTATAAAAGTTTAAATAGTTCCCAGGGAAACATATTTCTTTATCAACGAATTTAATTATTTTAAGTTGAAAAGCGCGATGGAAAATATCAATTCAATTTTTCATAAATGCAGATTCCTTACATAATATTGCTATTAGAAACAATTCCAAGTTTTCAATTTCAGAAACAAAACAAGTATCTACGCATTTCTCATGTTAAAAATATTGTTATTAGAAAAATAAGAAATTTTAAACGACACTTTTGCTATTTCTTTTTTATGGCTCTTTAAACAATTTCATAACGACAATCAAAGTATAAAATAACTAATAAATTATAAATTAGATTATAAATAAGGTTTCAAAGCTCATTACTGTGAGATAAGATAAAGTTCTAACTCGCGGAACCCATTTTTTTCTTTCATGGAACCCTAGGGCTATGCGGAACACCATTTGGGAACCGTTGTTATAGAGCATTACAGATATTAATAGTGTATGCAATGTGAACCAAGGATACAGAATATATTCTCGATTAAAGCTTTTATTGATATGAAAACAAAAGAATATAGACTCTTCTCCTCTCGTAATACTTTCATTTTATATCAATTAGCGTATGTAATCTTAAACACGAGGTGTGAAAAATAGTTTTCTTGTTTTCTATTTTATAACAAGTAGAGAATGCATTGTGAAAACAGAAAAATGAGGTTCTCGCTTAATACTCTCTTTTTATATAAATTTTTTCCTCTATTTTATAACAATCAGAATATGCAATGGGAAAAATGAAAAATAAGCTAATCGCTTAATACAGCTTAATGCAGTAATCGCATTGTAAGATATAGTTAAAAAAAAGTAAATTTATCTTGTAATATTTACATTTTATATCAATTAGTGTATGCAATGTGAAACGCGGCCAAATAATAAACTTCTAGCATGATACTATTATTAACATGGGCTCATAAAAAGGTAGATCGTCATCCCTCAAACCATTTAGAAAGCCACGTCCTGCGTGAAAATCTAACCATAGGATGAAAAGTTGTTAAGGTGTTTTTGTTCTGGACAATGAATACTTAAGTTGAAAGATGAAATTTGAAACGGAACATAACATTTCCATTCCTTTGTAATCTAATCGCAATGACTATAATTTTCCACTGCGCTACATTTTGAAATATTTTGATTTTCCTGGTAGCTTTATTTCTAAATCTTGGAGACCTAAGCAACCTTAACTATACAGTGAAAAAAATTTAGTGATCTCAACTCGATACCAAAATGGTGGCAACTACTGACACCAAAGTATTGTAGTGTGTTGCACGCCTGTAATTAACCTAGTAAGGAGATTAAATAAAAGAACTTAGTTGTCTCTGCATGGCAACACTTTAGTGATATACCAAACAACGATAGTGAAATACCATACGTAACTCTTGATTCTTGGTGTTCCATTACATAAAGAACAGAGAACTGAAATTGCATAAAGAACATCACTTGTTGTAAAGTAGCCATTTCTGTTTTTTGTATTCAATAACATTAGAATTTATAATTACAGTACAGATAAGAGTCAGCATTATAAGAATTTTGAAAGCGTAAGTATCAATGTAAAAAGCACGTGGTTTTAAATACTAATTCAGTGACGTCGTCACCACGCGTCGCGAAATTATGAACATTGATTTTAATTGTGGTACCCTTGCATAGGAAACCAAAAATAAATAATTCATAAAAACGAGTGATACAATTAATTTTTGATTTATAAGAGCAGCAAGCTAGCGATTCGCTCATATTATAAAACCTATTATCAAATCCTATCGAAACTATTGTCTTTGGGATGTAGCGCGTACCGAATCTCAGAGGGAGTTTTAAAGTAAACAGATAGGTCCAACTTGTCTTCGAGTGTATGTATACCAAAATTGGTGCGGATCGGTTAAATATTGCAGATTTGTATACGTTCCATACACATACACATTTAAACATTCTGATTTTTGTATATAGATAATTTTGCATTGCATTCGACACAGTAAAAAGTGTATGCTGACACAGAAAGGGATGGCAAAATAACAATGGGTGGCAAAACAACAATATAATGCAATAGATGGTAAAAACAAAGGATGACAATAAAATGGTGTATAAACAACACATCCTATGAGAAAGAAGGCTTCTGCATAGATCAATTTAGTAGTCCGACGCAACAAACATAAACTGCGCAAAAGTGAAAAATAAGAAATACGTCACAACGTCCGGATTACTGAACTGCGCAGTGGGGGTTAGCAAAAAAGATGTCACAATGACGGACTTCTAAAGGATTGGATGTTTCGTTTTGGAAAAGAATGAAGAAATATATATTTTTTTAATTTTGACGAAATTTTTTTCCTTGAAGAAGAGACAATAGTTATCTCGTCACTTTGACGAAATGTTCGCGCGAAACATATATCAGGAAAATGGTTTCGTCTAAAACGAAGAAAGTTTCGTGTTATTTGAATCTTTTACAGTATCGTAAAAATAAATTTACTGACTCCTATGCGTATCATATCTAACGGTAATGTTATATTTTAGTGTTACTGAATAACGAAAATGGAGGCGGCTACTTTACACCAAATAGTGTAAAAGCTCATTCTTGGTGTAGTGAAACACTTAGATTCATTAGAGATATATTGTATGTATGGGGTTTCACTACACCACTTTGGTACAAAGTATTTATCACCATTTTTGGTGTTGAGATGCACTAAATTTTTATGTCCTCGGTGTAAAGTAGGTGCCACCATTTTCGGTGTTTAATAACACTAAAATTGATAATTACATTAAGATATGATACACATAAGAGTAGGCAATATTATTTTTACGATACAATATAAAGTAAAAATCGTTAATTTAGAATGCATGTGTACGCTATTAGTTAGTAAATCAAACACACGCATAGCGCAAAGAGACATTAAGATGATTTCGAATTAGGCTTAGCAGTGAAGAAGCGGATAGAAACTCAAAAGTTATTTAATACAGTTTGCCGATCACTGGCCGAGCGGTTAGCACGTCTGACTGCTGAGCCGTTGGTTGCGGGTTCGAATCCCGCTCTGAGCGTGGATGTCTCTTTTTCTCTCTCTGTGCTCTATGTCCTTTCTCCTTTGCGTGTGGATGTGACTCGCCCTATAAACGGGTTTGTGGTTGTGTGACGTGGGCGACGCTGCACCACCGTCGCGGCTTCGCCACAGGTGCTCACTGGGTAACGAGAAGAGAGTAAGCAGTTCTGGCACTTTCTGAGGCCAATGGACAATAGTTCCAACTGCCCGCTATTTAAAAAATATTAATACAGTTTTGACAGAAAATTAAAAATATAAATATACTTATTACACAATTAAAAAATATGCATATTTTAACGACAGACTTTTGTTTCTGTCGATGCATGGCAGCATTGAAGACTCTACACTCTTAATAGATTGCAAACATTCTGCTGGCAGAGTTTAGTGAGTTGTGGAAAATGCTAAGCAAATCATAATGAAAAAGTCATCTTTGAACTAACAAAAATTTTTATTAAGCAAGAAAAATTATAAATAAACTTAAACATCATAAAAGAAAACAATCCTCGAGAGTATTCTACTCTCTATAACATGAGGTAACTAAATTTACTCCATACAGTCATGAAAATCATTAAATCTAATCTTAATTTGTCATATATATGTAATACAAAAATTATAAATACTTTTATATTAATAACAACATTAAAACTTTTTCGTTTTCATAAAATGTCTCTTTAATAAAGAATAGGTGTAGAATTTCTATTTTGGGACTTCAAGGCTGTAAACATACCATTGAATTATAATTAGATTTATATTTCAAAGGAGGAGTTATTTTTAGAATCTGTCTCTCTTTCACTTCCATAATAGGAAGCAGTAAATGATTTTCCATAATGCGTAAGGATACAAGACTGAGCCCTTTTACCTCATTTTGTGTTAGTATTTAATGCGGGCGCGATTGTTTTCACATGTCTTTTGCTGTACGATGTTGCCAACATAACCTTCGCCACTACTGTGTTGATATTAGTCCACCCTCCTTCAGCTGGGAGAGTGGATGAGACTTCTGTTTACACCATACTCCAGTAAATAAAGCCTGTTAAAGTCTATCGGCTTATTATTTCTACAAATGTAAACTAAAAACACTACCAAAATAACGGGGTTGTTGCCCTGTTATTATATATATACAAGCATATTTATCATTCACTCAAAAAATGACATTTGCATAATGAGGGTGGAAAACGTAATACACTTAAAATTAATAATATATAAATTTTGTCTTTAAATTATTTTTAAATGTTCGAATTCCCTCTTTCAGTGGTTTTTCGAACTTGTGATTTAATTAGTGATTGA